AGAACGCCATTTTTTTTTTTTTTACGAAGCAAGTAATTTACCTCGCAAAATTAAGAAGCAGATGAGAGCTTGATTGCACCACACACGCTTTGCTTCAGCACCTGGGGTTCGATTGAGCTGCAGATACACGCAGAGAATTTGTGGGGAATGAGAAAGGACCCCAAAAATGGGGAAGATGACTGGGTGTGTGTGGTGTGCTTGGGAAGTTTGGGAGGGAAAACAAAGAAATGAAATTAGTGTGATGATATAAAACTATGCTTTTTTCTTTTTGAAATGGTCCTTTTGATCTAGTGGTATTATTCTCGGTTAGGGTGCTAGAGGTCCCGAGTTCAAACCCTCGAATGTCTCTCATTTTTTTTTTCTTTTTCACATTTTTATTGAAGTTTACTAATACGTACACCGATGCACGTGACACATCTATTAAATGAGTTATATTCACGTACTATGCCCGTTTAAGTTTAAAAAGTAATAAGATCGCCATCTATTTTTCACACCTTTTAATCAATACGGTTGTAATCTATTTTCCACATCTTTTAATCAATATTGTTTTTCTAGCCAGAACATTAAATATGAACAAGTTAGGGCTAGCTTGTAAAATAATTAATATATTATCTCATTAACACATTTATATTAATATGAAGTTGCTTTTAGTATATATATTTATTGATTGATATAAGAGAAAATAACAATTTTATTTATTCTTGTTCACAATATAATACTTAATTATTATTTTATTATAAACTTTGTTATCGTATGATGTTATTATTATTTATAACAGTTATAAAAGTTGTACGTCTTATTTTTCGTTTAATTTTATGTAACGAAAAAATGTTTAATGCACGTTAGTATTATTTATTTATGTAATTAATTTAAAATATGTAAATAAAATTTAAATTAAACAGTGTATAAGTATTTTATGAGATATACATACATGTTTTTTTTTATAATTTAATTTTGAGTACTAATTACACAACTTTGATTCAACAAATGTCAAAAATCCAATCTCTTATGTAATCAAGATTTTTCTAATTTGAATTATAATCTCTTATGTAATCAAGATTTTTCTAATTTGAATTATAAGCATTTATAATTTATTTAACATACTAACCAATGAAAATATATTTTAAATGAATTTCATTATATAAAGAAATTAAAAAATAATAATAAAAAAGTATCATGATTTCCAATAATATACAAATAAATTCTAAAAAACGGTTAATATATATCTATTTTAATTTCTATATACGGAGCAATTTTATGGGCTTTCTGTATGATGTGTTACTTTATGGGCCTCTAAGCCCATCATAATACAACCATTACTGTTGGGTTTATTGGTGGCCCGTAATCATTTCAACAAAATTATCATATTTGAGCCATTCATTGGTCCATCGTTTGTTGTGTTTATTTTGTAATACACATTATTGCTCGTCTATTCTTCAACCTAATGTGTGCACAACTCAATATTTACAACGCGATCAATATAGTTGTGGTAAAAATATTGTTTTTCCTATATGTTTCTATTGTTGAATTGTTATTCTATTGTTATTTTATTTTCGAGATTGTTTATGAATTCAATTAGTTTTTAATTGATTTGTTTTCAATTATAGTTAATTTTAAAAAAATTGACATGGTTTGTTGTTAGTGGATATATTAAAATAATATTTAAAATAAAATAATTAAAGTTGTTATGATGTAAAAGTAGGAATTAAATTATTGGAAGTGATAGCTAGTTAAAATTGTGTGAGTGGATGAATAGTGAATTAAAGTTGATGTAATGTGTAAAAACTGATTGGTTGAATGACTAGTTGATATTATTTGATTACATTGATAATAATGGAAATAGTTGAGTTAAATTTGAGTTTTGATTATTATTTTTTTTAATTGGTGATGATACAAGAATTACCTGACGTTAGTCAGAGGACACGTGGCGACGATTGATGCTCCGACGTCTCCCTGGACTCGTCTCCTTTGCTCCAACGCCTGCAAAACAGAACCCCTGGGTTGTCCCCAGGGGTAGATCCTCCGATGCCTAAGTTAGAATAGGTTTTTGGTTTTCTGGGATGGTGGCTGCGGAATGAGTAGAAGAGAGAGTTTGGAGAGTTCAGAATGTCCCTTACCTTGACCTAGGTCGTCCTTTTATAGGACTCAGATGACCTAGGTCTCCCTTCTGCAACAGAGGACTTCCCAGCCCATTAGCTTCGTGGGCTGACTTCTGACCTTGGGCCCAAGGTAACACTCCTCTGGACCTTGGGCCTACAACAATTCTCTTCAGCACCTTGGGCCCAGAGTAAGGCTCCTCGGGACCTTGGGCCTAAATAGAGGTTGGGCTTCAGCCTCGACCTTGGGCACTGATGGTCCTTGGAGTACACGTGTCTTTATTCTCCCGAGCCACGTGTCTCCTAATAAATGTATATTTTTTCCCTTATCACTTGCCCCCCATTTTATGTGCGCATTAACTTTTACGCGTACAAAAAATAAGCGATGAGACATTTACAGATGAATATCCGCGGCGGGCGACTTTTCAGTACAGTTGGACAGACAGGCAGTCCAGCTGCTTGTTATAAGACTTCTCGCTCTCATTTCTCTTCTCACTTTTCACATTGTTACTTTCTAGAGAGAGAGATAGAGAGAGAGAGGGAGAGAATCAAGCTCTTGGGATTGCATCGATTTTTCAAGCTCGACGCCAGCATTCGAAAGTCCTCAGACCCTGGTAATTTTTTCTTACCATGTCCGTTTTTCTTCAAGCCTTCGGCAGCTAGTTATTATTTACCGACGTCAGTAGCATTGGTATTTACCTTAAACATCGATAGTGATAGTATGGACATATATTAGACACTTCGGTAGGCCGAAGGGCTTCTTCGGAGTCCTTGGTAGTTCGAGAACTAATATTTTGGACCTCGGTAGGCCGAGGAGCTTCGTAGTAGACCTTGGTGATTCGAGGTTCTTCTTTGTAGTCCTCGGTAGTCCGAGGACTTATTTTTTAAACACCTCGGTAGGCCGAGGGTCTTCGTTGTAGTCCTCGGTAGTCCGAGGACTAATTTTTTAAACACCTCGGTAGGCCGAGGGTCTTCTTGGTAGTCCTCGGTAGTCCGAGGACTAATTTTTTGAACACCTCGGTAGGCCAAGGAGCTTCTTTGTAGTCCGCAGTGGGCCGAGGACTAATTTTTTGAACACCTCGGTAGGCCGAGGAACTTCTTTGGAGATCTCGGTAGGCCGAGGACAAATTTTTTGAACCTTGGTAGGCCAAGGAGCTTTGTCATAGTCCTCGGTAGTCCGAGAACTAATTTTTTGGACCTCGGTAGACCGAGGGTCTTCTTGGTAGTCCCCGGTGGTCCCAGGACTAATTTTTTAAACACCTCGGTAGGCCGAGGGTCTTTTTGGTTGTCCTCGGTAGTCCGAGGACTAATTTTTTAAACACCTCGGTAGGCCGAGGGTCTTCTCTGTAGTCCTCGGTAGCCCGAAGACTAATTTTTTAAACCTCGGTAGGCCGAAGGTCTTCTTGGTAGTCCTTGGTAGTCCGAGGACTAATTTTTTAAACACCTCAGTAGGCCGAGGGTCTTCTTGGTGGTCTTCGGTAGTCCGAGGACTAATTTTCTAAACACCTCGGTAGGCCGAGGGTCTTCTTGGTAGTCCTCGGTAGTCCGAGGACTAATTTTTTCTAACATCTCATGACATCTTAGGACACCTTGGAGACCTTGGGAGCTTGAAAGATGATTTGGAGACCTTGGGCTGAAAGATGATTTGGAGACTTTAGGCACTTGAAAGATGATTTGGAGACCTTGGGACCTTGGGAGGGTAGGTTGTCAAAACCACATCTCTT